ATTGAAGAATTGCTATATTTGAAAGAAAGTAGATATCTTCGTAAGGCTTGAAGAGACTAACAACTGTTATTGAAACCTACTAAAAACGCTCTAAAAGGTTGCTCAGCTTGGAGAGGGGTACATGCCGGCTGCCTGTGTAAACCAAAATAATGTGTGGGAGAAACGTCAATATTGGATATGACGGAAAACAGTGGAGTCCCTCCTTCACAGCTGATGCGAGCAAGCAAGAATGGCTGCTGGTTCTGCATACAGTGGATGAAAGAGGGAAGGAGCTATCGTAAGATACGGGGCATTTTCTGAGACTAAGCCTACTAGGAGGGGCAGGAACATCGAGAAAATGAAAGTCGCTCGCGCATTTTTAGTCTCTCCTCCGCGTTTAAGGGTTGGTCCCGTCCCCCCTCCAAACAGATATTATACGCGGTTTTCGATGCATTGCCACTACAATGCCACCGTTTCTTGCGATAGCTACGAGGGAAAGAAAGGGAGAAAAAATGAAGGAGTGAAAGAAAGAAAAGAATTAAGAGGATCGGGGAGAACGCTCCAAAGAATGGAATGAGCTAATGCTAGGTTTCATAGAGCTTAAGTGAACCCTCATACGAAGCATTCAACATCCAACAGCAGTCGGAATTTGTTTCGGTCTCTGCGCTGTTATCCATTCTCCCCCATGAAATCGTGAATTCAATGCCCGCTCCACCCCTCGACGACCTCCCGCGGATTTTTTCCCAATAATGTCAGAACAAATTTTGTTCGATATCTTCTTCTTTACAATAATCGATATTTTATTGGTGAGTGTCTGGCTCTATTTCGAATTTTTTTGGTGTAAAAAATTGTTTTTAGGATGGCGGACTCTCACAGTCACTCCATAGCAAATGATCAGAGCCAACGACAAGAGGAAGTGCCCGACGAGGAATTCAGACGCGATCTAAGACGGGCTACGTCGTCCAGTCCACGGTCGTTGAAGAAAATCGTCTGTTTGCTCGGGACCAAGGAAAACTTCGACGTCGAGAAGGGCATCGCTCAGTCCACAACCACTAAGGAGACTGTCTGTTGTTGGAGCGTCAGATGACGTCCCTAAGACATCACGTAAAAGTTCAGAGCCGAGAAAACCAAGTACCACGTCGACGAGTGAGTCGTCACCGACGAAGACAGAGCCGTCAAAAACGGTACCATCAAAAATAACACCCCGAACCAGTCATTCGTCGTCGACCAGTGCAGCACCACTGCCTTCACCAAAAACGGAGCTGTCAAAAACAACTTCACCAAAAACAACACCACGAACCAGCCTGTCTTCCTGTTCTTCACCACCGTTCGACTCACCGACAAAGCCAGGGAAATACACTTCGATTGACCTTGAAAACGATCTACCGGAAATTTACAGGTGAGCTATTTATCTTCATTCTTTTAAAAATCTGTGATCACGGTGGCTAAACGGCATTGTGGCTATGATGACGTCATTGAACGTCACTGGTGGAGGGGCGTAAGCGGTGGTCTAGCCCATATTCCCCCATCGCGCTCGAGAGGTCTACTCCACCAATGTCGTTCAATGGCGTCAACGAAATCGCATCACCCTCCAGCCATCTTGATCACTGCATTCAAAATGAAACTTCAAAAGTGAGCGCGAGCTTCTCTGATCAGCTTGATCATTACAATCATACAATCATTACATGACAAGATTTGATCAGGACACAGATTTAGAATAACTCGCTTTGGAGGAATGTAATGCAT